GTTGTATTTGTTACTCACTGCATTTTTCTTTTCAACAAACGGCTGTCCGTATCACGAGCTCGTTATTCTTTCCTATACACTGCTGCCAGTTCTTCCAATGCCATTAAACGAAAACTTCAGCTGATAAATCTGAAACTGCGGATGTGTCGGAAGGAACTGTAGGTGTAGGAAGGTCGAAGAAGAGCCATTAATGCAGATGTTAAAATATTTCAACTGTGGTGTGGTGTGCATCTGAGGAAGATGCGGATACAATTCATGAAAAGCAAGTTGTGAATTTCCTTTCTTGTCCTCTTCCTCTCGGGAATGACCTCGTTTGTCATTATACGTAGAGAATCAAGAATAACTCATAAAGGGCAATTTATGTAGCAGCCCGCCGTGCGGCTGTTTTGCGATTAAGGTTCCAATCTACAGTGGCTGGAAAATTAGTCCAGATATGGTGATGATTACACATCATTGTAGTAGTAGGAATCTTTGGTCACAGAAAGCAGTGTGCATAGCTAGCAGACCATCGATAAGTGAACTTTCAGAGTCATTCATTCCATTGAATTTGGCTATTTTTATTGTTAATGGATTGTCGGGTAGTCATGGCAAGTCAGCGTCATTCATTGAGAGCAGTTCATGCACTGAAATCTGTCATGGTCGACCAGTATTGTACCTCTGACAGTGGTATGGGATTTCCGGTAATGGTCGTCATATCACATAAATGAATCGGCGCTTCCTGCTAGTGTTCGGTTCGCAGTGGTCAGTCCACGATAGCTTAGCAGAGCATAGCTTTTGGCATGTCGCTTCCAGTCTAATGTGCTTATGCAACAATGTACATGCGCAATGGCCCTCTTCCTTAATTCAGAGTGAAATTAATGTACAGAGTCGATCAGTGCTACGCACTTGATTTCTGAGTCTTGGGCAGTTGTGACACAAAGATTATTATTTTATTTTCATTCCCAAATATCACCCGGACATTCTGTCTACTTTTTACAAGGATATTTTTTGTTTTTTTCAGGGGTGAATGTCACCGCTTTCCATAATGATCTAGACGTACGATGACTCCATCTTTCTGGCCTCGGCGGAGTTACTGCGTACAAACAACCATTTAAAACCACTGATAAAATAGGGTAATTTAAACGGGTATCCGCAAACATGAACCTTGACTGCAGAACTCAGCTCTTGAAGTCGATTTTTCTTTGGTTCGAAAGTCTTCTCCATTAACTGCCCAGCTGTTAGATGAATTTTTTGTAATTAAATCGACATGTTAAGAGTTTTAATGTTCAGAGTGTGAGAAATGTTTTAAGTGACTAACGATTGTTTGTAATCCCTTAACGCTTGCTCATTTGTACACATTGATATTAGCAGCAGGAGGGTTACCATATTGGACTCCTTAACCTGAATTTTATCCTATGCATCACAACACATCTGATGTTCAGGTACTTCTTGATGATGAAGCGCGATTTCAGCTCTTTAAGATATTTGAGCCCATTTAGGCCCTTTAAAGCGCAATTTCTTGTTGGATTCACCTGCGCTGTTTGCTTGACTAAGTATCTCAAAGGAAACGCACGATTTTTCTCACATTGTCTTAAAAAAATTTTGGTACTGTTTTCTATGGTTATCATTGCTAATCTCTCTCTCTTGTTAGACTTCACGAATCGAACCTAACATTTTTTAGTCTCGTTTTGATAAAGACAGTAGTGCCGCTGTGACGAAGTAATTGCCGTCATGATTGTTCCTTCTTTAATTTTGTTCTTCCAGAAGCATATCTCGTAGTTGCCGACATTAAAGATCTCCTTACCTGATTTGAAACTGCCTGAGTAAATACTTGAGTCATTTGCCTGTTATTCATCAGATTCATCCTTTTTTTATTTATGCTTCACTGTCTCCACACCACTGTATATCTTATTACTTGTTTTTTATTCCTCAGTTTGTTTTTTCCACCTTTTCGTGACTACTGATTCTCTAGGAGCGTCGTTTCCTACAATACCCTTATTTAATCGACTGTCTGTTGGAGCTGTCTGTTAAAATGCTTGAATTTTTCAGCGGCACTCAGCACAACGGCTGGGTGTACTCTTCTGTACGGCTAGCTCAGTAATTCTGAGCGCAGGTAATTTTAACCATAAATAATACATTGATAAGAGGCTTGATTTCTAGTTATATCTGTTTATTCTTTATACAGTATAGGCAGTCGTCGTTTTGTCTGTCAGTGCATACGCTACTGATAGAACCATGTTGAGGAATGTTCGTAATGTTAAAGATTACTGGCCACTGTTTGAGACCACGTTAAACGCGTAAATAATGTTTTATTTCCATTTACAGCCAAAATAAATGAAGCCGCTGGTGAAGAAGAAGATTTCGAGATCGAGTTTGGCGATACCGGCGCAGAGCCTGAATCCGAGAACGAGGAGCATGAACCAGAAGAGTCCGAGGACAGTGACGAAGACTAATCGATGAATAGTGCACGATATCTATTGTACACAGTGATCTAGGGCGTGGTTACGACATTTTAGTTTATTTAATCCATACTGAATAAACGGCTGATTTTAATGATATTTCTCAAGATCGTAACATTCCAAATATATCTCTATTATATAAAACTGATGGGTATTATTCCACGCTAAAGGCACAATAAGCATGATCCAATGAGGCCACGACAAGTTTATTTTCATCCATAGAGTCTATGCATTTTCATCTATGCGACAGCTGAAGCTCATACATAATGAAGACGGCTTTGCATGGGATTTTCAAGTCATAATGCGGTAGCTGAAGATTTCTCTACGATTCGGTTGCGCCCTTGTAAATGATTTGACATTACGTCTTGCCGAATCATCAGTTGCACATAGTTTTCGCACAAAAAGCAACATCCTTGGCAGCTGCATCACGGCTCGAAGCAGTAGTCATTAAAATACACCTCAGGACAGAGGTCTACCCTGAATTCATTATCCTCCGCGATTTGAAATTTAGTTAAGCAGCATTACCTCTTCTGTGTAAAAGTCCACTTCTAGTGGTGCGTTTCCATGATCTCAAATTGATATAATGATGCGACCAATTAAGGCCTTTTCCAATTTAATTATTAACGGAACCATTAAACTATGAAATTTTCAAACTTTGAGAATATGATAGAAGTATTAATATCAACAATGAGGAAGAAAAGTATAGACACTAATGATGAGTATCGCACAGGACTGTCTTTAGTCAAGCTTATCATCGATTAGGTTAATCTAACTTATTTCATGCTGGTTCAGACCTAACCAAAATTTCTTGAAAGTTAAGAATTCCTGAATGACTTTCCTTAAGCCATCGCACTAACAACTGACATCGAAGGGTCACATGAAACAACCTCGCAATGGATGCTCAGATGTTACAAAACAATTTTCTGTATTAATGATCCTGAACATATGGTTCACGAATCATCTAAATGGATATACGGAAAAAGCCTAGTATATTCTTGCTGAGAAGTAAAATCGAGAAACGTTTTACTGTATAATTCTTTTCTGGCCTCATTCAGCTCTTCTTAGGATATGCGACACATCTGAGCACAACGGGGGGTTCTGCTGTTGAAGAGGATAGGATCATGTCGTAAATCATCTTAAGCTGTTTCCGAACCACTACTAGATGAAGACATCCTAAAGTCTTTGCCATAAACTCGTTTTCTGTGATTTTTATCGATTTTGATCCATCTAACTACTCTTGCCACTAGCTCATCCCGATATTACTTTGAAGTTCTTCCTACGTGCCGTTTACCCTGTCTAATGCTTCTCAGATCTGGCAGTTGTGGGTTCTTCTTGAGGAGTATCCTGTTAATTGTCACTTCAACTTCTTCACTCAGATAGTGGCACCGCAGACCTTGATTTGTGTACTTACCAATTCGTTCGTTTTCCTTATTTTTCGTGTTATTTCCATCATACACCTTTCAATTCTGCATTGCCTGAGTCTACAACTGACGAATAGCATTCAAGATGAACGTCCATGCTTCGCATCCACAGTAGTATGCATGAGTAAGAAACCTCAGAAGGAGACTAGGTGAAGAAAGAAAGAAGTCTTTCCACTCAGAGTTATGGGGACTCAGTGTGCAAGTTGAGGCAGCATTTTTAACAGCAGCTGGCTCATCTTTCAGAGTAAATTTTCAGAGGATATAAGCATGGGTCTTAAATAAAAGTTGACATAAACTGATACTTTTCTTTTGACACAGATTAATACCACGATTTTAAATCGGTACTTTCCTTTCATTGTTTAAATATGCTAACATGAAATAAGCAAGTATGCAGCTAC